GAGAGAGGGTCCCTTATTCTTACAACAAAAAATTTACAGAACTCCAATTGGGGTACCTATGGTGCTCCATTCGGAAAATTGATTGTTCCTACCCCCCGTAACCCCACCACACACCCCCGGTAAAACCCCCAACCCATCCCCAACGCACTCCCTCCAATTGGAGCACCTTTCCTTTTTATTGATTTTGTGGTCAATTATTTTGGTTATATATATATATATATATATATATATATATATATATATATCCAAAATAGTTGACTATTAGAAGCAAACAGCAGAAATGCAAAAATGATGACAGACCTTTCTGCATCCATGCAGAAGTTCAGAGAACCCAAACATAATGTTCCAATAGCCTCAACACTTAATGCCAGAGGAATATTCTGTGAAGAAATGGAATTTAACAGCAACCGCCAGCAATAAGCTAAAGGAGGATAATCCCTCCAGGCATATGTTTTCATGTTGTAAATAACATTTGCACAGCAACTCTCAGATTCATAATCCTCATCAGCAGACTGAATTTGCAGAAAAATAGAATGCAGAGAACTTTTTCCTTGTGCCGAACGTCCTATTTCCTTAAAAGCTGAGAGGCAGGCAAGCAATTCTTTTTCCACTGGCAGGATCTACACATTGTATCATGAAAAAGAACTTTTCACTTGAATAAAATGCAAAAAGACACATACTCACATACTCCATTAAGTAGTAGGATCACTGGAATGGACACTGTAAAATTTAAGGATATGAGAAAAACTGACCTTGAAAAATGTGAGCAGTTGTATAAGGACAAAGGTACATTCCACAGCTGTGAAAGCTTCTGGGATGTGTCTGAAAATCAATGATCTACAAAGTTCTAAAAAAATACGCAGAGAAAAAATATTGTTGATAATTCACGAAACTGCTGCTAACCTCTTAGGCAACGAACTGATGTGTCCATGTGTTTCACTATCAGATATTATTGAGATTGACTTGAAAACTGGTGTGCACCAGCTAACTGTTGAAGTTATCTTGCCACTAACGGCTCTGTTCTGTAAGAACACTTTGGGGTCCAAATTGGCAGCATCTAAACACTTCTGAAGCACTTCAATTAGCATTTGAACGACACCAGCCTTTGATATAACGTTCTGACAAATACAGATAAGAAAGCAATAAATTAACACGATTTATCGTTTTCAATATATGAAGGTGAAATATGGACAAAACAAAATTTAAACACAAAGTGCACCTTGGCATGTGGATGTTCTAATAGAAGAGAAATGAAAAGTAGCATGTTGTGAACCTGGAAAAGAAAAAGCAGTGCAATGAAAAAAGATAGAATACAATGTGTGAAACAAAAATGAGAAGAAAAACTTATCGACATAGATAATATTAAGCAAATCACTGCAGGAAACAGAATAGCAGACTTCATATTTAATACCTTGTAGACATCCACTTCTGACAATGTAGAAGGGTCAGAAAGATGATCATGAATCTTCAATACGATGGGTCGTATGAGCACTGAAGCAGTATCAGTGCTCAAGTATGTGATGCGAGTGATGAAGACTCGCAACATGTCTTGCACTACAATCAATGTCTGACAACATGCATTAAATCAGGAGAGAATCCAAGTACTCAACAACAACAACAACAACAACAACAACAACGAACCCAACTAGGGTCTAGGGAGGGTGTGTGAACGTAAACCTTAACCCTACTTGACAATAGAGAGGTTTCCAAGAGACCCCCGGCTCCAGCACAATAGTACATACAAAGGAAACACATTAGCACAAAATAAGAAAGAGCACAAGCACGAGTCTACACACAAACTGACACTAGCAAAAAGATCCAAAGCAAAAAAAAAAAGCAGAGACATGCACAAGCTATAGGCTAAGATAAAAAACAGACCAACATAAACTATCATAAACTACAAACTCAGACCCAGAGGTCTACCCAGGTACTTTAAAATTTATCTTAGATCTCTGATCCCTCCTATCTACATAAGGTCATATCTTCGGTAAGATCCTAAAATTGTAGCCTGTGATCCTGCCTAATCTCATCCTTCAAATTCTTCATAAGCCTACCTCTACCCCTTCTCCCGCCCAGTGTCGCTAGCATCTCACATCTCCTCACTGGGCCTCTGAACCTGCACTTGTTCTCCTTATGTGCACAAACCACCTCAGTCTAGCTTCATGCATGTTCTCCTCCACAGGAACCAGCCCCACCCTTCCCCAAATAACCTCATTCCGGATCTTATCCAAGTACTCAAATGTCTAGAATCACTGATAAAGAGACTTCACATAAAGTAGGGATGTGAACAACCTCATATTTTACATTATGTGTAATGCATTCAGTTTTCCAAAAATGACTAGGAGAGTCTTCTATAAAGCAATAACAATGTGCCCATTTGTCTAAGAAAAGTCGACATACACCTATATATCAATTTATTAAGCCATTAAAAGCATATGAACACAACAAAGAAGCTATTTTATAGAGAAACTTTGTGTGTGAGAGATGGAAGTATATAAACAAACAAAAAAAACTATGAGATAAAACAGTAAGATCAAATTAAGCATTAGACCGTGAATCACATACACTGACACAGCAATGCAGAATAATCTGAGAAATTTTTCCAAGTTGTGGTGTCATTTGGCCAAGCAGTTTCTCACTGTGTCCAGGCTGTAAGTACCAATTAACTTCTTCTTCTTTCTGAGGTCCTAACAGCGTTCTTACTGCCAATGTTCTAAGAGTCGCTAATCTTGGCATTCCATCTTTCCAAAGCCAGGCACGTTCATCTGGAAACAGATCATGCTTGAAACAAACATATAGTTGAGAAACAAATTGTAAGATTCCATACATACACTACCAAATGTAGATAACTTCCAAATACACTGATTCCAGAAGAACAAACAACATATGGAATCTACATACCAGAAGGAGCAGAAAGCTAGAAGTTTCCTTTGGGCCAAGTGCTACAACTGAAGTTGAATTAAGATTGTCAAATAGAAAATGGAAGAGTCCAGGAGTCCACCCATAAATGGACCAGCAGGCTAATGCTGACACAAGAAGATGACAGACAGCTCCAAGACCAAGGGCTATTTTGGGACATGAGTAAGATAGATCTGATGCAGAGGCAGCTAACTTTGGGCTGCAAATAATAAATTGAATAATTCACAATATTCTCACTCCAAACAAACAAAAACAGAAGTTTCTATAAATTTTGAAAAAATATATTAAAAAAAGAGAGGAAAGAAGACACTCCTATATCTGGCAGGAAGTCATAAGATGCCACCCCTACCTCACTTCTCGGTGCAATTGTACGAGAGAATTTATGAGTTTTGTATTTCTGTGCTGCTCCTTTGCTTCCTAAAAGTGGATAAGTAAAAGAGGACGAGCTTAGAAGCTTGATGAAGGAAACAACTAATCACTAACAAAAGCAAGACTTCTAGAAGGCTGAACAAAAAATAATGTAAAAGTGTGGATCATAAGCAAACTGCTTAAATCTTCTTCTATTTTTGAGGCCCATTAAGTTTCATGTGCATGTGTGTGGCAATTCCTGAAAATATTATATGGTAACAGGTAAACAAGGCTTAAAATATATCTCATTCGACTGCAAAACTGTGTCACATGGATGAAAAATGATCACTTTAATGAAATAACCTACTCCCTCTGTCCGTAAAATACTTCACAAGTTCACATGTCAGTTTGCTTTGGTTGACAGAAATTATTTTTAATTCAATTTATTTAACTTCTCTGTGTGTGCCTAAATTAATTGCATGGAAGCCAAAACGAGGCAAAACCCCAAGCCTTTTCAATTCATTTCATTTAAAATTTGGTATAGAAATAAAAAATCAAACTTGCATATTTAAAAATTACGTCAAAAGTTCTAAATAACAAGGTGACAAAAATATTTTATTTTATCAAATAATAAATAAAAAACACACAAATAAACCAAAGTTTTCCACAATTTTGGAATAGTGCAGTGTGCAGTCCATTTAGAGACATAGGAGTATAGTGTAAAATTTATACACACACACACACAGATATATATATATATATATATATATATATATATATATAATATAAAAATAAAAAAAATAAAAAATAAATAAATAAATATATATATATATATATATAAACTACATCAGTTGTCCTATAAACAAGAGGTGACTTGACTATTTTAGTGTAACAAATGATTGAAGCAAATAAAAAAGAAAATAAGATATAGTTTGACCATGTGAACGGTAAAAGTGAAGTTTATTTAGGGATGGAGAGAGTATTATAATAGCATTCAATTTCAACATTTATGGTAGAGGCATTTATAGACTGATGAGATGTCCACAATGTGATAACCAAGTAACATCAAAGGAAAGCATTTCTGCAACAGAATGGCCCCTGCAAACCTGTAACTTCTGCAATAGATTAATCAGCAGCACCAAAGAGGGAATGAGAAGATCAATTAAGCTCTGTTCGCGATTACGCTCAAGCAATATGTCCGAAGTCGAACCGCATTCTGTACTCTCATCAACTAAATAATCTGCTCATCATAGAAACCATACTATCGCATATAAGCAGAAGTGCATCAAAATGGGAAGAAATGCATCAGAGAATATTATTGTGTTTCATATCCAAGTAGGCTTAAAAGAAAAAACTAGAAACAACATCGATTTAGAAGCCCAATCGAGTGGGCTCAATGAAGAAAAATGATTTTGAATAGAAAAGAAAAACATTATAGGTCAATTTGTTAGCATCGAGAAGTCAACAACAGGAAAACCAGTACAGTCCCAATTTTTAGGTCTTGGGGAGGAGGGTGCACAATGTATGCAGCCTTACCCCTGTAAAACACAGAGATATTTCCATAAGATCCTTGGTGCATTACTACATTTACCACAATAAAAAAAACTTCTTAGAAAGTAAGAAGCAGGAGAAGTTTAATGTGTCATTTTGATTTAGTACATGATTTTTCATTGAGAAATCAAGTTTTGAAAAACAAGATCATATGGCACATTGAAGTTGCATCATCTTCAACACCACATTATTGCATATTTGTGAAAACCAAGGACAAATGCTTCATATAGATTGTTACCAAACAATCAAAGGGGTACTAGGAGCTGCAAGAAGTGCACCCTTGCAACCATACACCTGAATAAAGACTTTTTGATGGAATAGACAACAATGAACATCATGAAATTCCCGTTTCACATGTACATGAATGCATGACAGCAAGCATGGCTGTAGGCAATTGAAATACCCAGAGTACTGACTTGTCAATTGTGGCTCTACGTTTTAGTACTCTCTAGTTCAAGTTACTCTCCCTGTCCCCTTCTAATATCCCCACTTTCTTTTTTGGTACACTCCAATACAATGATCATGCTTCCTTTAAGAAAGAAGTTGTGTGGTAGGTAATGATTACTCCGTATTTCCTTACTAAATTTCAACCAGACAATTTCGTTTTTCTTAAACAATAGTTAGGAAAAACCCAATATGGTCAATCCATTTTTAAAAATTAATTCAAATATTCCTTTACATTCGGCCAAATTTCAATTCAATAAATAACTTTTAAAATCTTAAATATGGAAAAAATATTATTTCCAGAGTACATCAAGATACTTTACTCAAAAATATATATCCACTGACACCTTCAACTTCCTTGTTGAATGCTCAGCCAGCTCAGGGTGACCATAAATCACACTTAGGACAGCTTAAGTTATGTATGACTGCTCGAGGTGGACTTGACAGCCCTCTTAATGAATTTGAAATTTCCAGTCAATATGAACTTGGAACTTTGACCACACATATAAAAGCAAATTCGAGATATATACATACTAACTATTGATAAGAAACAGTGTAACAAGATTTTTTATTAGTTAACTACTGGATGCCAGCTCACAAGTCGAAACAACATATGGGAATGAGATGAGATGAGAATAAATAAAGTGCACATATTCCTAGATACAGTATACATAATTCACTACTAGTAGTAGGTAAGAAAGATACTTACCATAGACATTAGATGATCTTTCAAGCAAGAGCCTACAATTTATTAATACAGCATGTACAACCATCACAGCACCCTCATCATAAAGTGCAGCAGCAACAGTCTTCATCAATGCAATCACGGCTAGTATAAGTTTTACCCGAAGCATCATACATATGAAAAAGACGTACATTGAATATCACTTACCGAATTGTCAGAAATGAATGCCAAAATTCGGAAAGCAGTTGTCAACTGAACAACAGAAGAGTCGCGAAGGAAAACACCGGGAAAATCTTTTTCGGTGATGCGTTTCCCAAGAATACTATCAATCAGGTTACCCTCAGAAGTACTAGAAGAATCACCAATAACATTATCAATGTCCATCACATCAGATGCTAAAACATTTGTCGACGTCATATGGGCATCTCCTCCAGAAGCCAACACAGCAGCATACCGTAGAAGACCAATGGCCCCATTCTTGTGATAAACTAAGCCAGCATCAATCCAGTCCAGAAGTCTGGCTGGAGCATCTTTTTTGTTGGAACCGTGAGAAGAAGAAAGTAAAAGTTTGTGCAGGTCCTTAACATGTTCAATCCAAGATGACAGAGAAGATGGAGTCGAATCGGAAACAATGATTTCAAAAATTTCGGCAGCAGAGTGAAAGACTGCATGGTTTAACGGTGAAGCAACTGCAAGTTGAGATTTTTGGCAGCATTGTCATCACAAGAAAATACAAATAGAACTCCGAAAATGATTTCAAACACTGCTAGAAAATGTATAAGAAGCATATCAAATGCATCCAGCAGAAAAAAGAAACCTATGGAGTATAAATCAGTACCAGTACTTAAAGAGCTCGGATCCAATTCCTTCGCAGAGTGTAATGTTGCCATTAATGCTGAAACAGCCTACAGAAGTATAGCATAATCAATAAGATTAATGTTTTTGAATTGTCCATTGAAAAAGGGGAACACATAAGAGAGGATATGAAACAGACTAGAGGGAGGAAAATATCAAAGTATCCTTGTTTCTTGTGACAGAGCAGGTCCCAAATGATAATCTTGAAAGATGATATTTCACCCCGGAGAATGAAAATAGCAGTCTCATTTCCATCCACCAACCAATTTCATGCTAGAAATGGAAACACGTATTACCTCAGGAAAATGCACCAAATTCAGCAAAGCTTCACGTCCTCCATCAGACCTGTAAAGCTTAATTTTAAAAAATTGTCATATAATAAAAACTATTTTTTATGTATCAATAATTAGAGTTAAGTGTTCATGAGTTAAGATTAAAATAGTTGTTGAAACGCAATCTAAGAATCCATGCACAATAGGTTTGCTCAATTATTTCACTTCGAGGGTAGCCAAGAACCTGCATTGAGAAGGAACACTTGTGTGTGGCGGTAAAGTATATGAGTTGTTTAATATGAACAACTGAATATTATAAGCATGTTATACATTATTTACCTATAGCTTCTCCATCCATGGTTTCTAAATTCTACAATATATGCGTGGGTTTGATTCCAGTATAGTACAGGGTTATATAACTCTTAAACTACATTGTTCTTACCGGGAAAGACCACAAAGCTTCCACAGAATCCATAAGAAATCCTCAGAGTTCTGATTAGATGTAACTAAAAGATCTACAGCATTAATCTGCACGGCTAGCAAATGAAAATGAGTTAAAATGTTGAGAGGAAATATAAATAACAAAGTACTCACTGTGTCTCATTATTTTTGTCCCTTTTTACTGTGTCTGCTCGTCTCATTATCTTTGTCTCAATCCATATTTGACGTATTTGTTTCGTTCAAAATCATTCCTACTTTATCCATACTTTACATATTAAATATCAGCCACATTTTTCACTTATTCTTAACATGTCATACGTGAGGAGTAAAAATCAAATAAGAATGTTTATGCCATGCCATTTCCACAGAGTAAAAAATTAAATAATAGAGAAGGATTAAAACAATGTATAATTTCTACATTGAAGAAAGTTACACACAAACTATACAGAGAAAAATAAATTAAATTAATGAAATAAAATTGATTAAGAATATGTCTGACCGCTTTCAAATGCATCTCCATAATTAATGCAATTTCATGCGGGTACAGAAAGAACCCCTTAGAAATCAAGGCAGAGGCATAGCGAAGAGAAATTGAATCTTCCTTCTCCCATTTATCACTTCCCCTTAAGGCATGAACTAAAGTGGTAGACTGTTCCAGATTGCAAGCAAGAAAAACTAGTCCTGTAAACAGAAGCATACATTATGTTTTTGGAAAAGAAAAACGTAATGAAGGCAAGAAGCTCACTTCAATGGCAATAGAAAGATAGAGAGACTGAAAGAGGGATATAGTGTCTGCATTGATAGAAAACAGGCAAAAAAAACAAAAAAAAATGAAGAAAAACCTGAACGACAAGAGAGAAGTGAAAGAACTATGGCCTCTAGATAAGACACAATATCCAGAAGATTGTCCAGCATGCCACCTTTAACAGTTCGCAGAGCAGAAAAAGATAATAAAGCAGCAGACAAGGGAAGGAAACCTCTCTCCTGCTTGCACACAAAAAAAATTAGGGATGGTGATACATTGATAACACGAACGTGAAAAAACAAAGAGTACAACCAGATTGTCATGAAGTACAGCAATGTATAAAAGACAAACACTGATGGGAAATTTTAATTAAATAAAATTAAATGGAAGACCATAAACAGGACCAAAGTCACAGGATTTTACCGTAACATTCTGTGTAATGAATTATGAATACTCCACACTTCATAACAAAACATTACTTTAGTAGTTTGGTAGATTCGTAGCTCAAGATAAATTCAAAATAATTATGGTGACAGGTAACTCAGCCTGCAAAAGCAGCTGGTCCCAAGACCAGGTAAGGGAGGGTGTGGTAGTCCCATGGTAGCCAGTGTCAAATGGTGTCACAGAGTACGACATGAGCCAAGCCCAAGACACTTGGGATAAGGCTTTGTTGTTATGTCAATATTAATTACGGAGAATATTATAATGCTACCACAAAACACTTAAATTGAACACCAGACTACTAAAGTTATTGAGATGCTAATCTAATCAAAACTCCATTTAACTAAATTTAACATTTTAAACCTGTTTGGGATGTTTTTTATTAAAAAATACTCGTAATGAATATCAGTTTTGCTCAAATATGATTTTTTAAGACAAAAAATGTCTCCAAATGGAACCATTTTAGGAATGAGGGAGTTTAAACCACTCAAACACTTCTCTCTCAAATGCTCTCCTTCATTGGTCTAGAAGTTGTGGCATCTACAAATAGTGTACTTTTTTATTTTTAAATACAATACAAGTAGATCCCATCACTTCTTTATGTTTTAACCAATGGGATAGTGTGTAATTAAGAGAGAATGTTGATGTGCATATGGTAGAGAGTAAAGACTCTAAAACATAAACTAAATAGACTAGGGAAACAAATCACAAATATCAGAATATATTATTTGAGCAAGAGAAAGATAATAATTTGAGCAAGAGAAAGATGATGATTTGAGCAAGAGGTGTATATAATACTCCCTCCATCCCCAGATAATTCATTCCATTTCCTTTTTTGGTTGTCCCCAATTAATTCATACACTTCCTTACTTTCCTAATAAAGTAAAGAACATGTTGCTCACATTTCTTCACTCTCTTCTAAATAAACATCAACCACTTGAACACTTATCTTAAACTACATGAGGTCAAACTGTATCAATTAATTCGAGACAGAGGGAGTACTTCCCCAAACAACAGAAACAAAGGACAAAAGATAATATTGCGGGAAAGAGGGGAAATGGGTTAGAGATCTATAAATGTGCTCGAGTGTTACAGTCCACTACATATATGATGTGTAGAAAAAGAACTGAAAAATTGAATATAACGTAATACATAATAGAATTAAAAAACATAGAAGATAACTAAGCATAGAAACCACACAAAGAAAAGGCAAAGAGACAAAAAGCACCAAGCATAGAAAGCACACAAAGACAAGCGCAAAAACTCTCACCCAACTACCCTAATCGTAGATATCCAGATGCTCCTACCTAATGTCCTAAATCCTAATCAACTCCTTCTAATTCTTCATAGAATCATAGGTCTACTCCTTCCCCCACCTCCGGCCACTACTGTAAGCCTCATGCATCTCTACACTGCTTCACGTGATTTTGGATAAAATGCAAGAAAAGTAACTTCCATTGATGAAACACAACTCATTTTGGAGAGAGAAACAACATTTGAGCATGACACCTTTATAAGATGGAATGTGCAATATATTGTCGTAGAAGGACGGAATGTGCAGTACCTATTTAATAAAATTAATGCTCTCTCACGCAAGTGTACTCATCCAGTTGACCAAACTTCAATCATCAATTAAATAAAAATTGCATGACATATTAATATGAAATATTTTCAATAGATTTATCTTATAAATTACTTCCAAAAATTACTCTCTCTGTCCCGAATTAATCGTCTCAGTTTGACATCATGAAGTTTAAGAAAAATGTTGAAAAGTAAAAAGTGAGTGGTTGAAATTTGATTAGAGGAAAGAGAAAGATTGAGGACCACATATTTTTTACTTTATTAGGAAAGTAAAGAAGCGAGACAATTATTTTGGGACGGATTAAATAGGAAAGTGACACGATTATATCAAGACGGAGGGAGTATTTCTTTGTATTAATATGCAATGCAAATTTTAATTGATTGATTATCAATGTTTGTCAAGTTTGACTTTTTACCGCCAAACTTGACTAATATACTAGGACAAAGGGAGTATTAACTAATAAAAATGGCATTTCAAATATTACCTTGTTTTTAATACACAAAACCTTTTCTGCAAGTTATTTGTTTCGAGTAATAACCCTATTACTCTGTATTTTACAAAATTACATGTTTGTCATCTTCTCATTAAACCTCAAAATTCCTTTTTTGTCTATACTCAACACTTAATTATAACAAACTCTTAACACAGAATGATAGCTTTTACCTTTTAACATCTAACTACCAACACTCAAGACCTTTCATCTTTATGCTAGTATTTTTATCAAGTGTAAAGCATAGCCTAAAGTAGATCTAATAATGTACCTTTAGAAGAGAAAGCAAATGTATGTCAACATCTTTGTTAGGATGGCAACACTTGGACAGTGGAATCAAGCCACTTGTAGATTCATAAGACATTTGCCCATCACCAAGCAAAGATCTACTTGCACAAGCAACCGGGGAAGGATCTTCAATAGGGCCACTAGAATTTATTAATTTCTGCAAAAGTACTAGAGTTAACAAAAATGGAAGTGATGCAATCTAGTCCATGAAAACTCCTTGAGTGAATATTAGAAGAACGAACATATGACATGGCAGGTCACTTAGCCAAAAAGTTTTTCAACTATAACAAATGTCAATATAAACTTCTAACCAGAAGAGTTTTTATTTGGAATTTAGCATTGGCAAGCATGTCCACTGTGTCACTTTGATCCTGACTACCAATAGAAAGGTGGCTCTCCAGTATGGATAAAACTGCATGCTGTTTGTTGGGACAGAGAGTGAGACTCAAAGTGAGTGTTACAATTTTGATTCAGATGAACACAGAAATTTATTTATTTATTGGAAACAGAAACCTCGTATCTGCAGGCCACTTCATAGAAGCGTATACGATGAAGTACATAAGTTGAAAGTGAAGCAACATCATGCCGCTGACACTTTATTAACAGCTTCAACAACTGATTATAGCCATTACTGATACCGGAAGGGACACTCTCATCCTTACGAGGCCACCAACCGAGGAAACCTTCACAGCCAACTGAATGCCGAGTAGCCTGCTCTATAACTCCAAGAAGCATTAGCTTCAGGGCAGTTGAATTCTGCAAGTAAGCATATCCAAGTAGCTCCATTCCACCATAGTTAACAAAGTGAAAGCAGCTTTCTCTAGCAGAGCACAAGACAAGAGCCACTGATAACCAAAGAATGACATTCTCTTTCTGAAATTCAAATGCCAAAAAAAAATGAGAAGAGTTTCACACATTCAAGTCATGGAACCGAAAGTGATAATGAAAAATTAAAGTACATATCTTTTCTCACAATTCAAAAAAAATTATGTCGGAAAACATTCAGTCACCTTTGAAAGCCCAGGGTTTCTGTCACTGCAGATACTGTAATCATATTTGTAGCGAATCAATGCATTGACAAGCTGCTCGGTACCATCACTATCTATATCTGATGCTGTACACACGCCTTCAATTGAACATTCAACTAATTCTTTCCCTTCTTCATAATTAAGGTCCTTATGCATCTCAAAAAGCTCCTTTATGGCTTCACTGATGACATTATGAACCTTGTCATCGAAAATTAACTTATCTAGTCCAAGTTGCTTGTGGATGGTAGTTATGGAATGCAGACAAGGCATTGCATAAACTGAGGCAACTGATAATATGGAACTAAGAAGTCTGTTTGTTACAAGCCCAACATTTTGAGAGCCCAAAATTTTAAGTGTGAGTTGTAAGAACCGCTTGATCTCTATTGGAGTATCAACCTGATGAGCTCTGAGAGATAAAGTTTTCAAAGGAGATAAGTTTTCCAGTAAAGTCTCAGTAGTAGGGCGTAACGCGGGAGGAAGGTCTTCAATGTTTCCTTCCACAGAACTAACAGTATTCACTAAAGAGTTATCCAGGTCAACTTCTATATTGAATTGGCCAAGATCTTCTGCAGTATTACCATATATGACCAAGCTTAGGCTGCGATAGCTGCCCCTAATTACCAAATGGTTGGTGACTACAGCCTATATGTGATAAATAATAAAGTCAGAAATTTTCAAGAACGGTACACAGCCTTAAAACTCATTACGAAGCCTATTTAAGAATGAAAGAAAAATAGGAGCGTCAAAAAAATCTGAATACCAACATAAAAAAGGAAACACACAATGTATTACAACATTTATGTATCTCATTCCAATATAAAGTGCAATTCAAATTCACACAATTAATAAAGCAGATAAGGAAAACACAGTTTAAAAAAAAATCAACCCACTTGTTTTTGTAAGGTTTTAGCCATTAAAGAGCATTCAAAGTTGACCGATTTGTGAAAGGACTGTAAGGCGTAGGTTGGGTGAGCTTCTTATCCAGTTTTATTTGTTGCAACTAGCAGTCTTATTTGTTGGGTCCACTGTCAAGATCGCGTTATAGAAAAAGTTTTAGCCATTACATTTTGGAAAGCAACTTTGGCTTATGTAAAGTTTAACCAGTTGAAAAACTACTTCAACTTTTGTTCCCTTAACTACATTTCAAAATTCAAATAACCTTATCAATTGGGCATTGCTTGACACTGGGTCCATATGCGGAAAGTGAATTTTAGTAGATACTGCTAGTATTCAATACAACAACCTATATAGTAAAATCCCACAAGTGGGTCTGGTGGGGGTGAGGGGGTTCTGGGGTACACAATCTTACCCCTGTCAAGAAAACGTAGAGAGGGTAGATGATTGAAGACCTTGACTCTAGCACAAAATTATACTAGATGTTGAAAGAAAAGTATTTGTGTTCCATTATTATAGTGCACATTTGAGAATTTAGATTCTTTGACTTTTTTCAAATTATTTTCATTTCAATCTTTAGTACCATTTATTGTAGTGCGAGTAGTTATTTACATTTCAATTGGGTAGTAGATGCAGCATGCATATGGGGTTAATGGAAACAGTTACTCTACTTTGAGGTAAGACTGCGTACATTTTGACCCCTTGTTGGGAACTTAGATAGGAAGTAAGTAAAACTATGAATGAATGTGAGATACACAAATATTACTACATATTACTAAACTTCAATACTTTCCAACCACCAATGCAAAGATTCTGAAAGAAGAAAACCAAGTCTATGTAAGATTTTGAGTAAACAAGTCCTTCAAAGTGGGTGTGGGTTTGCAACTTCACATTCAAGTAATTCAACCCTATCAGTAGTACTCTTTGTCACACTACCTTGGTCACAAGTTATTGCCTACATAGTTTTGGCCCAGTTCATGTCTTACAAGTAACAACACATAGCAGTATGTCACCACCTTTTGAGGGTCGTGTGTTAGTCTGCAATCCAGCAGGACTATTTAGCGTGAATTCAACCTTGAGGAAAAGTTTGAAGTCCAGAACGAAAGTAATGACACGTTATTTGGTCAGGTTCACAAGCAAATAATGCAGGGTAGCACACTAGCAGTCTAGCACAAACCCAAACTGCAGAGGAAAAGAAGTGTATTGATCTTCATTTTCCCTAGGAAAATAAGTTCTAAAATGGTGCTTTTGACGCTCCTCTCATATTGAGGTGGAGGCCAGCTGCACTGATGCCTGTAAAGAGGTTTAAGTGTTATAAATTTGATGGGTTTGATGCCCATATTAGTCTGATTCTTCTAATAGTTGGATTCCATTAAAATCTGTATTAGGCTTATTAATTTTCATACAGCAAAGCCACTAAAGCTCATTAGTAACCCCTTATAGCTGATTCCCAATTCAAAAATTGTGGTCTAACTTGATTTCATCTGCCTCAAAATATGAACATCACTTTGAATTGGGTTTTAATGGAACAGATGAGTCACTGAAAAAAAATTGTACTCCAAAATAATTTTTAGCCAAGAGCCTCATACCAATGCCATTAGCAACTGTTGCTAGATTTTTTTTACATGATGATTAAAGAAAGCAATTAAATTTTACTCCCTCCGTCCCAAAATAATCTTCTCATTCCTTTTAAGGAATACATTGAGTTGTCCATAGCACTTCTCTCCTATGCAATCTCATCAAAAAAAATCACTTTCTTAAACTCCGCAAAAATGCAAATGGGAAATTTAGGGGGTATTTCTCTGTGCTGATGTTTATTGCTTATTGCTTATAAGTAGTTTTAACTTATAAGCTGTTTATTGAAGTATTTTTTGTAAAGTGACTTAAATGAGAGATGAGTCATTTAGGGATAGTTTTGCAAATGATTTGGTCAAAAACTCAAAACAGAGAAACAAAAAATAATCGTTTATAAATACTCCGGAGTAAGTAGGTAAGACCTACTTATTATTTTTATTTATAAGCATCTTATAAGTAGCTTATAAGCACATGGAAACATGTACTCAACTTATAAGTTTAAAACAACGTATAAGAAATTTTGACCAACTTATACGCATGGACTCATGGAGAAACACTAACTAACCTTCTTGTAGGGATTATGAAGTCACTCGATAGTTTACAGATTGGAAAACAAGACTGCATAACAAGTTCTCTAGCAATCAAAGAGGAGATCAAATCTTGGAATGTTTTAGAAAACATGAAATGGAGAAAGGACATATGTGTCTGTAAAAGTAACTACATAGGTCCTGATACTCAAAAAATGTGACACACAGGTTATAGTAAAAATAAATAGTATATGCCATTCTGAAAAACAAGGAATCCTGTAAAAGTATAAAACATTCAATTGCCAAGAGAAACACATCACATTTCAAATGGGCATTACATTCTGAACAGAGTTGTGGATCAAGAATAATATTAATGCAATAAGAAGAAAGTAAAAGGTTGTTTGGTACCTCAACATCAAGAACATTTGATGAAGAATGAGAATATAAAAATGGCTGACATAATCGTCTAAACCTTGTCTCCCCTTCACACTGAACAAAAACCTCCATGGCAAACGAAGGAGGCGAAGTTGCCCTACGTACAAGGAACAAAATAAAGTCACATCGACAAAAATAGGTACATATAATGAATTATAGAAAGGAAATGAGAGTGAAATTCATACTAAATGTTACAAAGTGTTCCAGGATAGTTGTAAATTGTTGGACACTGAATTCATTTTTGTAAGTATTAAAAGAACCTATATCTCTTTCATGAGAAGTGGGACAAACTTCGTTATGTCCCAAAAGTAGAACATTACAATTATTTCCCCTTAAGCAGCAGCATGTACAAAATGAAATCAATATCCATAGAATCGGTGTTTTAAAATTCAGACCAAGACAGATCTTGAAATGTTCATACAAGAACACATTTAACAAATGAGATAGATTCAGATCTGATCCAATGGCTAGATGTTATATTTCAGGCTAGATTCTGATTAAACTTCCCAAGTCATAATTACTATAATTCTGTAAAGGATATCATATCCCATGAGCTAAAATAACATTTCATTATCGAAGGAAGTGAAGTTGCCCTATGTACAAGGAACAAAATAAAGACACATCAACAAAAATAGGTGGTATATATAATGAATTATAGAACGGAAATGAGAGTGAAATTCATACTAAATGTTACAAGTTACAAAGTGTTCCAGGGATAGTTGTATATTGTTGGGCAATGAATTCATTTTTGTAACTATTAAAAGAACCTATATCTCTTTCATGGGAATTGGGACATACTCCCTCCGTTTCTGAAAACCCTTCCTCTTTCATTTTTTTTGTTTTTCTTAAAACACTTCCCTTTTCCATTAATAAACCATTTTACCCCTACTTTTTCATACCCTATCTATCACATCATACTTTTTCACTAACAACTAAGCTATTACATCTTACTTTTATCCATCACATCAGGGGCAAAATTGGAAAGTCAACTAAAATTATACTTTCCTTATTTTTCCCCAAAGTCAAAAGAGGAACCGTTTTGAGAAACGGAGGGAGTACTTCATTATGTCCCAAAAGTATAACTTCTTTACAATTACTTCCCCTTAAGCAGCAGCATATACAAAATGAAATCAATATTCATAGAATCGGTGTATAATATTCAGACCAGATCTTGAAATGTTCATATAAGAACACATATAACAAATAAGAAAAATTCAGATCTAACCTAATGACTAGATGTTATATTTCAGACTAGATTCTGATTAAACTTCCCTTGAATATTACGAAGCATTTTCTATGAGGTTTTGGGTAGTAAATGCATTGATGCATCAGGGGTCTCTCGGTGTGAACTACTAGGGCATACTTGAATTTGAAATGTAATACTCCAACTAAAAGACATACCCGACAAGTTGCACTGCTGAACATCCGGATGAAGCACTCTGTTCAAGAAACTCACATGCAGAGATGACAACTGGTTCTGAAAATAATACCTGGACAAAAAGTGAAGTGTAAAATCCAACTTAATGAATGCACTATCCTAATAAATTATATTGAAATTCGTGTGTAATCATTTCTTAACTCAAGATGTATTGTACTATAAATGATACAAGCGGTCACTTTGGGTTTTCTTTGACAAAAAACAGTGCTTTTTTTGTACAACAAAAGTTAATGTTTAATACTTCCGCTATCCCATAGAACTTTTCACAAACGAAAAAAGGCAACTCCTAAAAATGTGTGCTTTTGATACTCCGTATTATTTACTAATTTTTCCCTTACTTATATGAGTCATAATTAGAAAGTAATATCAAAATTACCCATTTTTAGGGCGTACTTTTTTTCGTCTTTGAAAATTTTTATGGGACGGAGGAAGTAGTATACTAGTATATTTGTCAAATTACACAGTGAGCTTTAGCTTGTTTGTAGTTAAATGAATTCTATGCATGTGTTAAAATACTGAAACAACTGGGTGGTGATATGTTTAATGATGTTATACATAATCCTAATTTTCCGTATAAACCCCAGCAATTCTTAGATACATAACTTCATAAAGCATGCCATACGGTATCAATTCGGTGGTGCAGCATATCAATTCTTAAACCCCATTTACTCCATATATACATAATATTTATTTAAAAAAACATACCCAATGGAACTACGACAAGACAAACAAAAGGAAAAAGAGATTAAGACAGGGCAGAACCTCATCAACGAATTCATCTAGTTGAGGGTGGACAAATGTTTGGGCAAAGAGCACACAAGGTTCCGGCCGACCCATTCCCCGTTCTACTTCTCCCTTGAATTCGCAGAATCCGGTCGAATTTGCACGGTTGTGTCAAACTCTTGTTAGGGTTTTAGCGGACACAAATCTCAGAGGAAGCAACGATGCTCTCGGAGTTTAGCTTGAACCAGAAATCCTCCAAAACCTAAACATATATTCCTCGAATTAACTTGTACCAGTACTTCAGATGTTAGGAATCAACAGGTTAAAAAATATGTAAAAAATGTAAACATATATACCTTCTTCCATTCCTATCCTTCGCCGGACTCATTGGAAGGAAAAAAAACTACGGAGTAGCAAACAAAATAGCTCAATTAGTTTTGGGGAATTTACCTAGGACGAAGGTTTGTCTTTTTTCATACTTATTAGGTAGTAATTATTCTTATTAAAATAAAAGAAAGATCAAAGTTAAAAATATACGGAGTACCAAATTAAGGCTTTCATATTTTTATTATTGAAATAAAACTTAAAATATATTTACATTACCAAACAGAGTCATGTATTTTACAAAAAAAATTATAGTAATGTGTATATGTACAATGTCACATTACCACAGTGTGAAGTTTTATTTTGGGAAAAATAAATATGAAAGTCCTATTTTGGTACTTTTCTCTATATTTTAGTCCTATTTAAGATAATTTCTATATTAAAATCAGATCTAATCAGATCAGATTAGATTTAATTACATCAGATCGAATTAGATCAGATCAGATTCAATTAGATTATATCAAATCATATCCAATCAGATCAGACCATATACAATCAGATCAAACCATTTCAAATCAAATAATATCAAATCACAAAAAAAAATAAAAAATAATATTTATATTTTTCACCGATTAAATAATAATTACTGTTATTTGATTAAATCACATTACTTTATTGAAAGCAACACACAGCTAAATTTTAATTAATATTATAATTTTAGATATTATTATTATTATCATTATCATCATCATCATCATCATCATCATTATTAGTATTATATTTCAACTACAAACTACAGAGTATTATTTTTAATAATTGCTTAGCTTGTAGGAATAATGATTAGGGGAGAGCATCGGTTCGGGTCGGTCGGTTTCGGCCCAAAACCGAAATAACCGAAAATAAAAATGACTCATATTAACCGACCGAACCGAACCGAAATTTTTTTAAAACCGAACAAACCGAACCGAGAAAAATCGATTCGGTCCGGTCGGTTTTCAAATAACCGACCCATCGGAGATGAATATCCCATCGGAATCTTCCCCAAGCTCATAAGGCTTTCCGTTCCCCTTGAAAACTAAAACAGGCGAGGATCCAAATCGAGCGGGATGTCCTTGGTACAGATCTGATCTGAGTGTTCCGGGCTGTCGATGGACTGAGAGGCATGTTACGCACCAGATAATTCGCCGGCAGATTGGTACGACGGAGTATCGGCGGAGAAAGCAGAGTAGCTGCCACAGCCGTCGTCGTCAAAGGGCATCGTCTTCGGCGTCGATCTCCGTCCATTCTAAAATACTTAATGGCGGCGTAAAGACTTGATGTCGTCTTGCCGTTGATGGAATCATATTATTAGGGATTACAAAAGTCAAGAAACAAAGAAGACAGCAACACTAAATTTGGGATTTGGGATGGGCCGCCATTAATTAGGTTTTGGACTGGGCTTTGTTTCCTGAATTAATAGACTGGGCTTACATATATAAAATTTACATAATTACATATATTGGGCTCGGTTTTTTGGTCAGTTTCGGTTAATACTGCCCGGAACCGAAACCAAAACCGAAAACCCGAATTAACCGACTTTTATATATACTAAAACCGAAACCGAAACCGAAACCGAAATTTCGGTCGGTTCGGTTAAATCCAATCAGTTTACCGGTCGGTTCGGTTAAATTGCTCACCCCTAATAATGATGCATGGAAGCAATATTAAAGCATAAAAATTATACTTTACATACTACTAGTTTTCTACCCTGTGCTTCGCACGGGCTTGGGATGTGTTCACGTGTCTATTAAATAAGATTATCAGTCTTAGACTTTTTTGGTAAAATTATGTAATATTTTGAATACAAACTAAATATAGTTTTAAATAATTAAATATCATAAAATTTTGATTTATGAAAACAATATTTTAAATAGACACAATTTTTATAAATTTACACACTTTGCCGTCAAATTATAAAGCAATTTCAGCAAAAATCTCAAATTGGTATTAAATGATATACTAATGAAAATTGATTTAACTTATATATATATATATATATATATATATATAATGTTAGTTCTTTTTCATGCTTTGCATGGGCTCACATGTAATCTAATATTTGACATCTAAAAAATAAAATATTATCTATTTTAATTCTTTAATATGATCTAAGAAGTTTATAAAAACCTATTAAAAATAAATATGAATTTATGACATCACTTGTGGTATCACATGTGGCATGATGTGCACACGTGATGTGAAAAGTTTTATACAAACTAAATGATCACTGAAAAAAGTAATAATGAAATAATTTATAATTAAAAAATTAAAATAAAAAATTTCAAATGAATCAATTAAGTAATGACACAAAATGAGAAAATACATATATGACATACAACGCGTATCATGTTACAACTCTAACTTTGTTTTGTTTAGTTTGTTGAAAAAAATATACACCATATACTAAAATATACTCCATAGTATGTAATAGGATACAAAGTTTGAAATAATTTTGTATTTAATAAATATTTATATGTGATAAAAATGTTATAATACTGTTTTGAAAATTTAATAACAATAAATTTTCTTTTTGCTAAATAATAATGGTTACTTAGTGCAAGAAAGTGAAGGTTTATAAAATATAATAAAAATAAAAGTTATTTAATATACAAAAATGAAGGTGTTTCATAACTTTAATAATAATAAATATATACATGTGGCATGACACATGCCGAGGTGTAATGCACACGTGACCTAAAATTTTATACAAATGTAATGGTTATCAAATAAAGTGATATTGAAAATTGTTTTAACTAATAAAAATTAATAAAAAATGTCAAATAAATCAATTACGTAATGACACATCATTAGAAAATGCATATCTGTCTTGTGCCACATGTAAATCATTAATTAAACTTTCACTTTGTTTAGTTTGCTAAAAAAATATATAACAAAATAAGACAAAATTGAAATATGTTATGAAGTTAATAAAGATGCATGTGTGATAAAATTTGTATATAATAGTTTCTTTTGAGATGCTGGATAATTTTAAAAATTATAAGAAACATTTTTTTCTTAATTAATAAATTTTATATAATTTTTTTAATATTATAAAATTGTCACGCATATTTAAAAAAAATATTTCTAAAATAGTTAGGAAGTGAAATTTTTTTAAAAAATAATAAAAATAAGGGTTTTTTATTGTTGGAAAGTGAAGGGTTTATAAAATATAATAAAAATAATAATTTAATGCAAAATTAAATATGCATATGTGGAGTGACATGTGTCTTGTGAGTTACATGTGGCATGACACATGTCAGTGGTATGCACGTGTGGCATGACACGTGTCATCACCACAAGAGTGTAACTCTCTTTTATATATATATATATATATATATACACACACACACACACATATAAGACTTAAAATAAGGTGTAGACTTCACTTTTTGGCACTAATCTACGATCAAAATCTTATTCACCTTTTCTCAGTTATCGTCTCTGACGAGGCCTTCGGGGGAGGGGCTCATTTTCTTTTATACAAAAAGATGTGAAAACCAGAATTCACAGAGTAAGATTACTGTGCTAATCTGCCAAACATTGGTGTGCTTCACGTGGAATGGAGGGACCACTTCATTCAATTTGGGTTTAAAAACTTAAAATAAATTGAGATATTTTACTCTGAAAAACTACAATTCGAAATAAGAAGTGTCAAGAATATTTCATTTTATCAAATACTAAATGAAAATATATAATTAAATAAAAGTTATCGAGATGAAAAAAGGTTTAAATTGTAATATATTTTGTGAGGAAAGAAATAGTTTGAGATAAGGGATTTGATGGACCAAAACCACAGGTTGTCCTGACTACAATCAATGTGAAGAGACATGACAATATAGCCTCACCTTTTTTTAACCCACTCCGTCATGTAAATTTTAAACACCACGTTACACAGGGAGTATTACACGACCAATTTCAGTTTGTAAACATTGGGTTCATTTAATCTTTTGCATTGAAGTAAAATAATGAAGACTAGCCCAACACGTTCTAGCTTGAACTACAATCTATGTTGGACAAGATAGCCAACATATTGTTTCACGTGCTTCGTAATTTAAACACCATGATATAGTTGTGTACTTTATCTCTACCAAAAACATTGTACTCTCTCCGTCCCTAAATATTTGTCACACTTGTATTCAAAAAATATCAAGATTTTTCAATTCATTTTATTTACATATTGGTAAATAAATAAAAAAATAAAATTTTAATATAAAAAAAACTACATGAAAAGTTCTTCGAAATAAGAGTTGTCAAGAATATTTTATTTTATCAACTACTAAATGAAAACATATAAATTAAATAAAAGTTATTGAGATGAAAAAAATGTAAATTGTAATCTATTTGTGAGGAAAGAAATAGTTTGAAATAAGGGATTTCATGGACCGAAATGTAACACCCGCCTTCCGCGGACCCGGTTACGTGGGCAGTCCGAGAACCGTCCGTTACAAAAACATTAATGATTATTTATTAAGAAAACGGTTGTGTTTTAATTAGGAAATAAATGCCAGGGAGTTACTCCCAAAACGTGTGTAGTAAATGTGCAGAGTAAATGCGGAAGTAAATAAATAAGTCCAATCCAAATGAAATAATGACAAGGGTGGGTTCATGCCCAAATGATTAATTAAGTTAATGAAAGTAAATAAGAGCTCGTCCGTCACTGCTCTCCAGGGTTGGCACATGCTCCGTCATGTTTACCTGCGTGTAGCAAAAACAACTACACGCTCAGCAAAAGCTGATGAGTGAATCTAACAAAAGAACATTAAGTGATAACTCATATGGCTATACACATATTAATACATGTACTTAACGTACGGAAAACCACATGTTACTAACTGTTTAGTTTTCACCTGTTAAAGCTATTACAAATGACAAGGTGATTGGAACATTCATGATGATGATATGACTTGATGAATGACTCTAACTATATGGCTTAGTCTCACTCGATAGGATCACCCCTGCACTCCGGTCATTGTCCCCGAACGGTAACGAGCCGGGCACGACGAAGATGTCGCGAGTGGACTAGCAAAACCGGGTAGTAGCCGTAGCCTGACTACTATGTACGTACACAAGCCCAACATGATGAAAACCCGTTGGTCCCCGA